TATTTAGGGCTCACGCTATCCTTTACTTGCCATAGTCCTCTGTAGCTCACCATTTCCTGAAATTTGTGTGCAAGATAAATTTAAAGGTGTGCGTTTCTGGGAAAAAAGGACCGAGAAACATTTTTAACCTCAGCAAACTCTGCGAAATATTCTGTGTATGTGTGTGTGTGTGTTCCATTTTGTGGGTTTGCATTATAGACAGTTTTTTTGGCACCAGAGGGTATGAATACTGACCTTATGTAGTTAGAGTTTTTCAGTTGGTGGGGCTCAAGTGAATGTGTTCTGATATTAGTGTCAAGTGCTATTGAAATAAACATGAATAGAAAATGTCCCTATATTGCTCCCGTGGATATAGCAAATTGTTACAAAAGGTGACAACAAGTCTTATAGAATAGAAGTGTCTTTCAAATAGTTGGACAAGGATTGGTAAAACGTGTGTTGTGCTGACATGGCCATCATCTCCACATGTCAGACGCACTGCTTATTGCTTGTTGATGCCAATGGTTTTTAAAAAACTGAAAGTATGATCATTACTTGTTATTATATTATATTATATTATAACTACATGTTGCATGTAACTGTAGGAGATGCCTACCTGATAAAAACATTAAATAATACATTTATTTGAATAAGTTCTAAAGTAGAAGAGGTTTTGTTAGAGAGTAACTCCTCACCATCAATTGGGATTGCTTCAAAGTAGCCCCCACTGCAATTGATGTAAAAGTGATTTTCATTGTGAATAGAATCCAAACACCACAAAAATTACCATGTGAGAGGGGGCTGAAATTCTGGGTTGTGCACTTCTTGTGGTTTTTCTCTTGCTAAGGATGGTCATCATGCATATTTCTTATTGTGGTGCTTAACAAAAAAGTTCTTGGAATTCATGCATGAAGCAATCACTTAATTTATCTCAAAATGCTAGACATATATGAAATATGCTTGCAGAATGATTTTTCATACATAATGTTATCATATGATTTATTTGCTGAACATTTCCCATATATAATAATTTTTATATAGATTTCTTTGGAGAAATGGATTTTTACAGCAGATTTATGAAAAACATAATTTCCTCACCATTTTTTCAAAGACAAAACTTATCAAGAGATTCTCAGTTTAGATGGTTGAATTTGAGTCCTAAGCTAGCACCTATGTGTTATGTTTGACTCTCTCTAACATGTGAACCCACAAGGCAGCTTCCACTTTGGAGTCCAGCTCCTCATCACTCCTAGCTACATTCTATGCATCATTTTCTATGCAATCCAGGCTACTTTTATCTGTGTTGACTTGAGGATAGGAAACAACCTTCAAGGAGAAAATTAGCACAAAATCTCACTGCATCCACAAAAAATCCATTCCACCCTAGAAGAATGTGCACTCCCCAATGCCAATCCACTGATTGTGGGCAGTGATCTCGTCACACCTCAGTACAAAGCCCCCCTAAACTTCTTAAAAAAACCACATTCATCATGCATCCAGCAACACTGATAAAATAATAAAACAAAGACATGAGAAAATACCAGTTGAGGGTCTTGAAGACGATCGGAAGAAGACTCTGAAGGATCACATGGTAATCGGTGACGAAAGGGATGCTTGACTTGATGTGCATGAATGTGAGGGGGCATTGCAAGAGGGAGGGGAGGGACAACAGAAGGGGGTCCAGAAAGGTAGGGCCAACGCTGGACGGGGAAATGACGGCTGAGTGGCACCGAGGTGGGGGTTCCTTCCGCACGACTGACTGACTAACTAGCCAGTTATTCTTCGGGCAGACCGCTCCGGAACAAACAGCCGCAGATGCGAGAGAGAGAGAGCGAGAGAGAGAGACATTAGTTGGTGTGTTTGGGGAGGCGTGTAAGCCGACAAGACGGCTCTCCCCACTTTTGAGCTCATCGCCTCACCCTTTTATAATCCACGCCATCTAGCAACCTCTAATCTTTCCCCTCACAATTTCCTTACACACCCCTCCCCCCTCCCGTCTCTGGAGTTCCCACAAACTCCCCTCTCTCAATCTCCAGCAGAGCCTGAACACTCGATCTGTTGTACATCCCCAACCCCCTCCCCTCCTGCACCTGCTTGAAAGCGTTCATTCTAAGCTCGGTGCAGAAGAACGTGTGGTTGAGCCCCCCCTACCGTTTAGTTTGGTTGCAATTTTTTTTCTGCATGCGGTGGAGTTTCTGATTGTCGATCAGCCCATTTAGGTAAAGATCTCGTACTGTTGAGAGCGATGTGAGGGGGTTGTCTCTGTCTTGCATTGGTAGTGGATGGTGTCAGTCTGTCATGGACGGTGGATTTTTTTGCGAGGGGTTTTAGATGTGCTTCCTCGAGGGAGTTGTTGTTGCCAGGTTTCTGTTGCTCGGTAAGTGGTAGCTTTGGGTTTGTTTTTAAAGAGGTTTGATGAGTATGATGGTCAGAAAATGTGTCGATCAGTCGCTGCGATGAACGAAAACAAGCACGCGTTTCTAAATTTGCGCCTTTTCGGAACTGGTGATTGGTCACAGTCGACTGTGTGTAGTTGGGTTGATGTGCGTGTTTTTTTTTTTTTTCTTCTTCTTTTTCTTCTTTTTTTTGGTCGTTTCTGGAGGCGAAGTTTAGTACAAAGTATGTTAAGATGGTTTCTGTGAAGCGACTGGATCTTCCATCTATGAGCGAAGAGATTTATGAAACATTGGAGTGTAAAATTATTGGTGACGCTCATAGTAATCAGTGCCTGAGTAATCATTACAGTAATGCGCAGAGTCTAAGGCTTTGAACATCTTGGAGCACCGGAAACTACCTAAATTTTTAAGGTTGAAATCCACGTGCAAGTTTGCATGGTTAAGTCACTTCTCCTCTCTAATATGCGTGCTCAGATGAGAGCTTCTGTGAGATTTAGAGTTTCGCACTGCTTACTCTAGTATTGACGGTTTTTTGTTGGCATTCTTCTAGCGAGCTATGTGATTCGCAATGTGTATTCGGATGTAAGCTCTGGACGGTTGCTCTATAGGCACTCAAGGAAGATACCTTCCTCTTAGCTTCCTGTGTCGGACTCAATCCTGTCTTCCAGCCTCTCTGTTAGGATTATTTTGCGTTGCTCTGTAGTGATCCATATGTACAATACATTATTTTTTTCAAGCGATTCTAACGCTGGCCTAGGACTTGCAAAAATCTGGAACTGTCTTGATCGTCATCACCGGTGAGGTTCCTTTTAGAAATCTAACATTCGAATCCATTTCAAAATCCTTTTAACATCCTTAGACCGTCCTTACTCCCTGCTTTCGAGCTGAAAGACTTATTGAAAATAAGTCTTGTAGTACATCTATGATGTTCAATCCATCGCATCCTCGTTTTCCTAGTTGTCTAAATATAAGCTTGGTCCAGTATATCCTCAGATTGGTACTAGGAGGTACGATCGCATGATATGGATCAATATGGATCGCACGATAAACGTCTAGTTGCAGGTCTGTCGTGGTCATAATGGTGTGTTTTGTTGCCGTTCTTCCAGCTTGTTCAAGTCTTGTCATCGTGGTAGTGTGTTGTTTTAGTACTTCCTGTAAAAAACAAATGAGTTGAGGATCTCGACTACACCGAGCGAGGAGGGATGTCATATGAAGAGATCGTTGCTACTTTTACCGCTTTCAGAACCCAGGAATCAGGTTGAAATCATCTTGGTCGGTGATGCATGCGGGTCGGCAAGATTCAGATCTGATTCCTTTCGTCGATTTTTAACGTTCATGGTCGAGTTTTCAGTGATTCTCTGTTTGTCAGTGTGATAGTCGATTGCCAGCGTCATTTTGCTTGTTTATTTATCTATTCTTGCTTTCCTTCCTTGGCCGGTTATGTTTTCTCCTTCTGGTATCAGGTAAGAGTGATGTGCAAGCAACCTAGTGATTCCGAGATCTTTACCGTCGTCCGCCTCTTTGAACCTGACACACAATCCACAGCAGCTGATGACCAAGCCGATGACTAAGTACATAATACGCTGTTCTGGCACCAGCTTGAGTGCCCGGACACTGTCTATCATGTATCATGTTCTAACAGCTTACACTGACAGACTCGTCCTTGTTTTTCAATGAGCGTAGCCCCAGGATCTGCTGTCTGGCTTTCGGGCTGTACTTCAGAGTTGTCTCTGAAGCGGTTGAAAACGGTCTATGACGCTTAGTTTTTGCGCATCCGGTACCTGCACTGCTTAACCTTCAGTACAGCTTTGTATGCCATCAAAAACCGAACGCTGTAAATCTATACAGTACAGCGTCGCTCAGAAATATGTTACACTATCTGATGGTAGTCATGCCCAGAGAATGAAGACAAGTAACAAAAAAATTCCTTCTTTCAGGAGTCTAGCTGTAATAGATGTGGCAGATCAGTTCCAGACGCGTTGTACAACTTTTGTCCCGGACTTCCTGTGCAGAGTTTGCTATCATATCGTCATTTGCTGAGTCACAAAGAATCTACCTTTTGTTAAAAGAGAAAATCAGGTTTACCATGCAGGTTCTATGGCTTCCTGCAGTTACCGAGTCTTCTCGAATAATGACGTGTGTTAAGTTGTCCAAGAACTTCAGAGAACGATCTTATTGCCTTGGGTTTTTACCAGTTTTGTCCTTTGGTCCAGGTAGTTGGTCTCCAGTCTTCCGACGAAGGTAGTTTATCATTTGACCCTTCGTGGAGGGTTCTCGATTTGTACAAGAGGTACAAATTGCCGCATGCAGCCGCAACATCTTGCGGCTGAATTAGCGGGGTTTTCTGAAGGTGGCCACGACTGCTGGACCTGCGGGGCTTGATAGATGATGTTTCAGGCTGTGAACTCTAACCTCCGCCCGCCTCGTGCATCGTAGGAAAGTTCACATAAATGGAAATCATCTGGCTGGGTCTGGATGGTAGGCTCCCAAACGCGTTCAACTTCATATCATCCAAGTTCCAGCTCACATGAAGCCCCCCTTAAGCCGGGTCGTGGAGTCCATCAATTACTGGACAATGTTACTTTGTACAGTAAGAAGCTAAAGTTCTGGAAAAGCTTAGCGTCTTTTCCCTCTGTTGTTGGTCGGCCGGTCAAAATGATGTGGAGTATGTGCCCCCGTATAACTAGGCGTCTAGGGGGGGGGGTTGTCATCAGAATGTCTGATTTGCTGCGCGCTTAGGATAGGAGGTATATGATAAGGTCTTGGAGTGACTGAGAATAGTTTACCTTCATTTGACTTGGTGACGACGCACCTCCACAGTTGTGGTGGGTATGTTGTCTGTCTGCACAGAGGAGGCCAGGATTATAAATGATGTCAACGACTCCCTCTCCAAGTTTTTCCTTTTTCGAAGGTTTTGTCTCAGAGGTTGATCGAATTAGAGGTTCAATATATCTGTGTTCATGGTCTGAATGCCTTCAAGTCGCTTCGTGTTGGCGGCTTAGGCAGATAGTTACTTGGCACACTGGATCCTTGGAGAGTTGCTTGTGTGATTATGAAAAGGATTTGCTATCTGGTTTGTCTTCTCTCTGCGTCCCTTTCTTTGAAACTTGTCGGAGTGGTTCAAGCTTGAGCTTTGGATTTGCTGGTCTAGCCCGACTGTTTCAGCGCGTAGTGTGCCAGTGGAAGGGACACTTTCTTCCGATTCTGTAGTTTTGTAGCCTCCAAATAATTTGGCAACAGTGTTAGACTGATGATTTGATCAATTGTGATGTGCTTGTGTTGACAGTTACCATAAGAAGGCGATTGCAGGAAGATGAATCAGTTAACTGCCAAAGTTCCTGTAGGCTTTAGGTTCCATCCCACAGACGAAGAACTTGTGGGCTATTACCTTCCCATGAGGGTCACCGCCCGCAAGGTCGAACTCGACCTTATCCGCGACCTGGACCTGTACAAGCTAGAGCCATGGGATCTTCAAGGTATGCAACAATTCATTTCAGAGTATTCGTAGCATTTTTCATGTTGAGGGATGTCAATAGATTTGGGACCCGGAACATAGCCTTAAGAACTGGATTGAAAACCACACCACCTGATGTGATATTTGACTCCATACTTCATCACCTAAAATTCGGGTGTTAAATCATGCAACAGATCTTTGCAAAATCCAGGCCGACTCAAATGAGAAGCAAACCGATTACTACTTTTTCAGTCGCAAGGACAAGAAGTACCCGACGGGCAACCGCGCCAACCGCGCCACCACCCAAGGATTCTGGAAGGCTACAGGGCGCGACAAACCTATCCACACTAAGCTCCAGACTCTCATCGGCATGCGCAAAACCCTCGTATTCTACCAAGGCCGCGCCCCTCACGGCGTCAAGACCGACTGGATTATGCACGAGTTCCGCCTCGACGATGGTCCAGGCCAACCTGCTCACGTTAACGACGGCTGGGTGGTGTGCCGCGTCTTCAAGAAGAATAAAAACCAGAAGCCGAAAGTGGAAGAGAGAGCAGTTTCTCACGAGGAGCACATGGGTACGCTGCCTTCGGAGCACATGGGCTCTCCAGACATCCTTTCCGGAGGAGGTCGCTTTGCCTACTCCGATCAATCGCAGTATGGATCCATCAAGCAGGAGATCATCAGTCTCGACGAGTACAAGTCGCGCCACTCAGACATGTACTTGAACCAGTTCTCAGGGCAGATGGCATTGCTATCCAATGCTGAAACCCAGAGCCGTTCTATGCCGTCCTCCAGTATCTTAAATCAATCTCGCTCGCACACATGCCTCACCTTGAGCCCTCGGCGACCAGATTGCTACCAAAACTTCAACTCCTATCTCGAGACCCCTGCCTACCCCGAGAACAGCACGGAGTATACCGATCCGCAGAGCAGTGGAAGTGGAAGCGACGGCGAGACTCATGAGGATTCCATTCTTGGAAACCTGGATAATTTAGACTGGAGCGCATTGTTGCAAGAACCATCCTCTGGAAAAGACTCGCGGTGCCCTCCTACGGCGTCGGCGAAGGCCAACACTGAAGACGTTACCGCCCTCATCCAGATCAAGCGACAAAACTCCGATATCTTCTCGTCTCTTGATCTCTGGAACTACTCCCACGTCGCCCAGCAGACGTTGTGAAGCTCCTGGAGCAAGGTATGTACATCGACGATCACACCAAAGGATAAGGTGGAGTGGTCGATTAGCTTCCGAATTTATGACATCAAGCTAGTCTCAACGAACTCCACCGCAACCAGCACATCAACCATGCCTTTGATATCACCACTCGTGATGGTCCAGAAGGTTTGGAATTGTACATGAAGATTGATCTAGCTCCTAGACACCCTCATTTGAGATGTCTTCGAGTTTGATGGAGGAAGATGGACTGCATGCAGGCCTGGTTGTAAAGATTCAGTTAGTCGAGCTAGAGATCATATCATGAAAATGAAGTCTATTTTTAAAGCCTCCGCACATAAATCCCGCTAAGATTCATGAAGGGAATGAAAATGAGGTGTCTTCATCGTCGACGGGTGGTCGCATACACATGATTCAAGCGCTTGCTTCACCAATCATGAGTTGATCCGTGGACTCTCCATTAAACTCCATGATAGGTTGATTGCACACAGGGTAAAATAGAGAAGGATGCAGTGTCATAGTTGCATGTTTAAGTGTTGAAAGCAAGTCTTGCACAGAACCTTTACATTGATAGGTCCTAAGTTGCTTTGAGAGTGGTCTAGTCGAGTCGGGCGGGGAGTTCAATGCAGTTGGTGACAGAGTCAGCTAGAGCGCAGATTATTGTGAATAATTAGTACACAGAAGTTTATAGATCAACAATATCTTGCCTCGTGATTTAGGAGCCATGTTCGTCATTAGCATTATCCACACATTGTGGAAGTTGCATTTGTATCAATACATCATCATCTTCATCATCATCATCATTTTCATTATCAACATCGTCACAATCGTTGTCGTCGTCTTAGATACATCATTTCGGAGAGGTTTAGCTTTATTTGTTTATACTCGATTTGTGGGTCGTCATCTCAATGGGATATAAGTACATGTACACAAGTTTTAGGTTTATTTTAGATGCAATCTCAGGCGTCCAGCTCTGATTCAACATGTGGGAGAGTTATGTTCGTTGAGATGGATTGATATGCCTAACATGCCTGGATTATCCCTTTTATGTTTTTAGTTCAATTCAGTAACAAAAGCTGGTTATCCACAATTCACAAATGCCTGGAGGTGCTCTTTACAGTTGAATTCTGTGTTTACAATTTTCTGTGGCGTGTTTAGAATGGTATTTGCGAGCAAACACGAACAACAATGCACTGCAGTACAAAACAGGGCTAAAGGAGCTCACTGGGCTCAGCATTGCCCCGTTCTACCCGAACTCCACAGTTCCAATTTTACATGTAATCGTCATTTCACCTCTTTGACTGAATTTTTTTGGACCAAGACTTCTGTCATCCGCACGGTAGGGCATGTGCTTTAGGCACTTCAACCGATTATCAATCATGTTTATTGGTTCTTTGAGTTTTACAAGAGTAAGGAAGTTTCATGAGTTGGTGACATATGCCCTCATACGGGTCGAAGGTTGAAACGCACAGTTGCAGATGTAGGGAACATCACCTCTCTTCCAGTCACTAATCGAAAGCCGTGTGAAACTTCTGATTTACACCGCATTCGAATGCTTTTCTTTAATTGAAATCCAGGCACCTGTCCTTCAAAGGTTGCGATTGAGCTACTCAAGCATGCTTAGGTTGATCAGTTTCATAGAACCACTACTTCAATTATTGGAGTAACACAACATGTAGCTGCAGCTTACAAATACTTGTATCTGTATTTTAAATAACACACGCATTTATTGTGAACTTGGACCACTTTGGGGAAGAAAAACTCTGAACACACTAATTCAAATACACCACGCCATTTTGATGGACATGTACATAGTAGCATCAAATACATCTTCACACTTTCCTTGGTCCTGCATTTTAAGGAAGGACCTTGCTAATTCCTTAAGCATCAAATTAGAAGCATCAAATTTGTTGCTTCATTTCCTACTATCCAGAACACCTCCACCATATGCAACCAACCCTGACTATTGGATCCATCACTAGACAGACTAGCTACTGTTGATCCAAATCAAAAACACACTAAGATCATACGATAGAGTGGTATTAGGGTGTATCCATATAAAAGGATTCGTTGAAAATCTTTTGCGTAGATTCTCGGTAAAAGACTTGCATATCATTACATAATTTAGCTACACAAAGATGGGATTTCATACCTGTTATAACCCAACTGAAACTAGAAAGGGGGAGCACTCGAAGCTACCCCCAAGACGGAGGTTGGCATTGTAAAGTTCACCTAGTTTAGGGTTTATCATCAGAATTTGTCCACTTTTAGTATGCCTCTATTTCCTGTTGCTGTGAACTGCCTGTTCTAGTCCGGCACAAAGTCTATTCCATTTTTATAGTCAATCGTAGGAGGTGGCTCCGGACCGAAAGTGTCCCACGGAGATTCAATGAAAAAGAGCCGCCTCTGCCGGTTCCTCAAAATTGGCACCTGCAAGCCCCAATTCATATGTGTAAAAAGAGGGTTCAATACTCACACAGCACTCCTTAGGGTGAATTCTTACTAAATCTCGATCTAAAATTTCAAGGCATAGAACCTGGTTGACAGAAAAAACAATGCAATTCAAACTGCGGTACAACGTGAATATGCTCTTGCCTCTGAATAGGCTTGAAGTGAGCAATTCCTTGTTGGAAAATGATCATGAATGCGTGATGAGTTTGGCAAGAAGTACCTGTTCCCAGCCAAGCTCCATGCGTAGGGCTTCGAGTCTTTTGCGATTTCTGCCGCTGTCTTTGTAATCTTTAGCACGAGAGGCAGACCTCACATTTACAGTTGCATCAACAGAGGGATCACTGAATAAGAATTCCACATCGTCGCTAACGCCATCATCTCCTTTGAAAACTGCGTAAATGTATCTGCACTTCAATGCAGCTACATGGCCGTTCAATGCAGCTCTCACACACAACTATATCTATAAAAGCATACATTTCATACCAGTGTCAAACGTTGAACGGAACACATGCGGAGGTATCAATTCTACGACACTGTCGAAGACTGATGGAACTATCCTGAAAACCACAAGCGACCACTTCAATCACGTTCGTAAGATCAATGCACAAACCTGTCACTCTTCTCCTTGATGAAAGCTCCGGAACCCTCTAAAGCTTCTTGTAAATTACTAACAGCAGCCCTCAAAGATCCCGGAAACTCCCACGGTGCTGTGAAGAAGCTCGGCCTGACAAACAATAAGAATGCTTTCGGTTCAGAGGCATTTGGAAACGCTGCACAGAAAACCTAATTTTCCTTGAACAAAAAATCGATAATTATGCAACACCATTAGCTGCAGGGAGGTGCCACAGCAAATTGTTGAAAGGAGTTGCCACAGGACCTGTCGTCGAAGGAGGAAACACAGTTGGTGGTGGCACTGCAAGACCCCAAAGTGTCATCCACAACGCCGATGCATGTGGAGCAGGTGCCTTGCTCTGGCTCAAATTGCTCCGGCGTGGTCTGCTCCCACGGAAACCACGTCCGGCCATTGTTGGGCACATTAGTGCTGGCTGCCACAGCGCACCCCTGGAGGCTCACGTTGACACACACGGCGGCACTCACCACACCAGCCAGCAGGATATTAATCTTCTGATTACTTTCCTGTGCTCCTACACTACCTGCAGCAATCTTCGGGAAGCTTGAACCCTCTGCGGCTGGAATGGACGCTACAATGCGATGACAATTCCGCTGCCAAGGGGCAGCACATGCATGCGGAATTGGCATCATGACTCAGACCGCGTTGTACACTTCAATGGCTTCACAATCCGACTTCTTCCTGAAAAATGCAAACCACATTAAATCCAAAGCTTACCCCCGGAATTGCAACACATTAAAGTTCCACCAACCATCACCCACCCATTCAACAATACATTTCTAGCCAACATTTCCGAAACACCGACAGATTTTTCCACACAAGGCTTTCACAATTCATAGCAGGTAGGAGTCCAGTTCATCATGCAGTCACGATGGCAAAAAAATATTGTGCTGGAGTGGCTGGACAAAGAGGGAGTGCGATCGATTACGCAGAGCTGAGAATTCCGCCGCTATGGATTCCAATGTCAATGTTGCAAGTCCGCTTTTGGCCGTGCCCAATTGATATCCACGAGTTATGGATCTGGATAAGCCAACTGGATGCGAGAACACCGAGATCTTCTGGCAGGACATCTGGCACAGATCACGAAGAATGCTGCAGTTCAGTTTTGCCGTATTCATAGTTCAGGTTTCAGTCATGTTCCGATTGTGGGTGCACTGCCGAACTAGTGATCAGTTGCAAGTCTGAATGATATCGTTTCACCGTGCTACGCAAGTCTTCGCAACACACACCTTGTTCTAGTGCAAAGTTGTGTTTGTATGGACAGAGACTTTTTATTTCTTATAGTTATTATTCTTCTTCTTATTATTGTTTTTTTTACCTAACAAGCTGCGGAGAAAGTTGCAAAGTGCATAGTTCTATTTACTTCAATTCTTTACTACGCAGTTTTTGACACTCTTTTCTGAATGCGTGAAGTGAGATTTCCTTTTCAATCAAGTTTGACAGTGGTGGGTTTGCCTCAGGGGCATCAATCTGTTGTGTGTTACATTTTAAACATCTTGTGTTGCAAGGTTGATATACTTCAGCTTTTTAATTGGATTAAATGGGAACAAAATCACACTGGAATGCTCCTAAGCTTTTGATGAAGAAGTATGCTTTCCTGGCTCTACAACTTTGTATTATAACTTTGTATTATAGATGTATTATATTACAACACTACTTTGACCACATCAATCTTAAAGGCTATGTAAGTAGATATAGATACATATTAAAGGAAAATATTAAAAATTGATTTATTGTATTTTCAAGTGAATCTAAGAGAGAGTGGATTTTTCTATGTGCCATGAACAAAGAATTTAATTTCAATTCATAATTGAATAAAAGTTTCTAAGTTCCTTATAATCCAAGGACTTCAAAAAAAATGTAATTATGTCTATATATATAGGTGACACGCCTAGTTACAAGGACTTATTTGCCTTGATATTTAGAGCTGATTCTGATATTGGACTTGTTATAGAACCATTGTTGTTGTTGTGGATAAGTATCTCTATGACCACATTGATGTGTCTCTTTGGTGCATTAAGTCGAAATGTTTTGATAAATTTATTTATTGTTTGTAATTCTATTGAGATTGCATTGCATGTTAGCATGTTTTGTGATCTAAGAATTTTTTGATTTATCCTTGTTTTCTTTTTGATCAAAATATTTGTGTTTGTTATAGGAATTCTAAAACTATTTGGATCTAGACTTGGAATAGATGCAAGATTAAATTTTTCCATTGGATATAATGGACCAAATTTATTAAGGACGTTCAAAGTTAAATCTTAATTACTAAATTTGAAGTAATTATTTTAATAATTTTATTTTTATTTTTTAAAATAAGTATATTGCATCTCTAATAGATAATTGGATTTAGTACTTGAGACAAAGATAATGCCATCTTCTTACTTGCATTAAATACATTCATTGTTTTTATTTTATTTTTATAGAAAAGGCTTTGTAATTAGTAAAATAAACAACTATAGAATTTTTTTCTAAAGCCCTATTAGGTAGTATATTAATAGTAAAATCTTTATTTGTACTTAATATACTCTTTGAAATTTTATCTTATGTTGATGTTATGGCTCTTTAGATTATAGTGGCAATTGATGTAATTACTATTATTTTAAAATATTATAGAGATGTATGCATTGTCTTTTACATTATCATTTGAATTACAATAAATAAATATAGAATTAATTAGAATTATATTGCTTGATAGAAGCAAAGGGCCGAGTTTCAACTTGCTTTGTAAATTTGTAGTATCTTTAGTTTTGTATTATAGCCTACTTGCACTCACTTAGGCTTTTTTCTTCTTTTTTTTTATAAAAATAAATTCATTTAAGTTGAGATTAAAAATAACACTTAAGTAAATGATTTTTTTTTAATTTGAAAATATATGTTATGAATTGATGTTATATACTAGTGTAGCTATTATATACAAATTTTTAATTATAGGTACTTATTAAGCATTGAATATAAAAAGATATTATTTCAGTTTAGTCTTAATTAAGACTACGTAGTGTTTGATTTTACATCTTGTAGCCAAGAAAAATTAACATTACATTGGAATATTTAGATAGTTGATAAAAACAAAACTTGTTATTAATCAAATTATGAACTTTTATCTCTCACTCATATATGCTACCAAATTCCATCACAATAAAAAAAAAAAAAAAAAAAAAAAAAAGAAGTTTTCTTTAAGCCAATTTCATTGTTAAGATCTACTCTAAATACATCATTTCAACGTTGTTGCCCAAATATTGAGATTCTCAAGATATAGCACTTACGCCCAAGCACAAAAAGTCATCAGTTTGCTTTTTAATTAAAAGAGAATTTTATTACAAATAATTAGTACACTAGATTTTTTTTTTTTTTTTTTTTAAAGTCCAAAACAAAATATTACATCTATTCTTAACTAAAAAATTACTGAAATATATATCTAAAATTTACAAATTTGTTATATCAATTGATGTTTTTTAATATTTTTTAAGCACATTTATCTCAACCATCTACATTCTAGTAGAAAATTAATTCAAAATATTTGTTTATATCAAAGAAAAGTTATAGTCAAATTGCACAAAAGTGATTAGAATTTTATTGCTCACTACATATATTTTGTTATAAACATGCATAAAACCATGGCCTCAAGACTTTTTAATTGTTAGAATTTTAGTATTTTTAGAATTTTTGACATCTTTTAGATATTTCTATTACTTTCTAATAATTCTTTAAAATCTTTAGAACCTTCTTGGATCTTCTATAAGATTTTAAAATATACTATACTTATGTAGAAGTTTCTAAAAAATTCTCATAATCTTCAATAATAATAAAAAGATCTTCTATAGTTTTCTAAAACAAATATAGAATATTATTTTATACTTCTATGATATCTTATAATTCTTAGAATATCTCTTGAATTTTTTTATTGAACTTAGTTGCAATAATACAAATAAAGAAGCACAATGAGGATTATTTTGCTTTTATCAATACAAATTTTGAAGCAATTTAAGTATTGAATTATTTCTAATCTTATTTATAAGTTAATAACTTATTTGTGTTGTATTTTTAAATCTCTTAGGTCCTTGTCTTTGTATCTTTGTTCAATAGAATTTTTAAAGTTAACATTATAAAAAGAAAATCTAATATATACATTGTAGCATACAATAAAATGGAGCATGAAAATTAAGATTTGAGATTTAGGCTTTGTGTCTATTGCCAATACAACTATGATTGTGCTACACAATAGAAAATTTATTTGTATTGTAACCAAGGTAAACTAGAGGATATAGTAGATTAGTTGAAATTCTTGCCAAAAAAAAAAAAAGTTTATTTATTTGCTTATTTTTTTGTTTATTTTTTTTTTTTTTTTAAAGGTTTTAAAGTATGAAAGGATACTTCTACAATGCAATAGCATCCTATTAAAAATATATCAAGAAGGATTTAAGAAAGGACTAGAAGAATGTTGTTGTAATTGGTATTTGCTATAACCTACTAATAAACATGTTGGAGGAATAAGAAGTGCTTGTATCATACAATCTACAAAGAAAAAATTGATTTATTCACTCTACTTGATATAAGCCAAGTGAGTTGTTATCTATTTGTTACTCAAGAAACTACATGTTATTGTTAATATATGCAAATCCAAAGAAGGTTATAATAAATCAAGAGCTTATACAACAAGTTCTTATAAATTATGCAAAGGCACCATAATTTGATATTTTATTAGCAATTAACTTATCAACATTCTTCTTATCTCATATAAAGATGTACTAGTTGCAAAAGTCAAAGGCTTTATAATCCTCAATTGTTTTGGTAGAGGCTACTTATACCTCAAAATATCTTTAATAGATATTATAAAGTAAGCATTAATTTTATCTCCTTATAAATCTTTGACTGATTTTTATATATTTTGAAGGATAAGATCCAAATTTTGATCCAAAAGCTATTTGGAATTCTAACCAATGTATATTTTTAATTTTATTTATAATACTAACATTGATTTTTCTTAAGAACCTCTCAAAAGACTTATTCATAGTATCTCAATATTTGGGCAACAACGTTGAAATGATGTATTTAGAGTAGATCTTAACAATGAAATTGGCTTAAAGAAAACTTCTTTTTTTTTTTTTTTTTTTTTTTTTTATTGTGATGGAATTTGGTAGCAAATATGAGTGAGAGATAAAAGTTCATAATTTGATTAATAACAAGTTTTGTTTTTATCAACTATCTAAATATTCCAATGTAATGTTAATTTTTCTTGGCTACAAGATGTAAAATCAAACACTACGTAGTCTTAATTAAGACTAAACTGAAATAATATCTTTTTATATTCAATGCTTAATAAGTACCTATAATTAAAAATTTGTATATAATAGCTACACTAGTATATAACATCAATTCATAACATATATTTTCAAATTAAAAAAAAATCATTTACTTAAGTGTTATTTTTAATCTCAACTTAAATGAATTTATTTTTATAAAAAAAAAGAAGAAAAAAGCCTAAGTGAGTGCAAGTAGGCTATAATACAAAACTAAAGATACTACAAATTTACAAAGCAAGTTGAAACTCGGCCCTTTGCTTCTATCAAGCAATATAATTCTAATTAATTCTATATTTATTTATTGTAATTCAAATGATAATGTAAAAGACAATGCATACATCTCTATAATATTTTAAAATAATAGTAATTACATCAATTGCCACTATAATCTAAAGAGCCATAACATCAACATAAGATAAAATTTCAAAGAGTATATTAAGTACAAATAAAGATTTTACTATTAATATACTACCTAATAGGGCTTTAGAAAAAAATTCTATAGTTGTTTATTTTACTAATTACAAAGCCTTTTCTATAAAAATAAAATAAAAACAATGAATGTATTTAATGCAAGTAAGAAGATGGCATTATCTTTGTCTCAAGTACTAAATCCAATTATCTATTAGAGATGCA